TGATTTGTGACATTCTGTATTTTAAAGCCCAAAGGAGGGCTCTTTGACAGCCAGCAGCACAAGTTTACGATTGTGTTTATTTTGTGATGTGCCAGTGATGAGGAGCAGTACAGCAGATCATACTGTAAAGGAGATGGGAAATGTTTAAACCAGCAGCACAGCAAGAAAATCTGTGGAGGATTTTATGAGTAAAGGCTCTGCTTACTCTCATTCTCAGTGACTCACTTCTCTCCATGAGTTTTGCAGATTTGTTCCTTCTTAACTTTCTAAAACACAAAAAAGAACAAAACTGAACTTTTGGTCAGTTTGAAAAAGATTTGAATGCATATGTTTAAGCCACATAATAAAAATATAAATTCCAACCATATGTACAATTGCCGTAAAGGTATGTTCCCACCGAACACAAAAGTTGCCGCTGGAGCAAAGGATTCCAATGTTATCTCTACGTAGGTGTGGGCAATTCCAGTTCCTGAGTGCTTTCATCCTGCAACTTTTAGATTAACCCTTACTCCAACACACCTGAATAAAATGGCTGAGTTACACTACCTCCTCAGGATGTAGTCAGTTCCTCCAGAGTCCTCTCAATCATCTAATTACTTGATTCAGGTGTGTTAAACCAAAGGCACATCTAAAAGTTGCAGAATACCGGCCCTCAGGAACTGGGATTACCCCCCCTTGCTTGAAGAGGGTGAATGTGGAGTGAAGTAAAGTGGAGTGATGCTGAAGGAGGCGAATTTAAGGAGCTCACCGCCTCGACTATGAATTAAGTTGAAAAATCAGAATTCTTGTGTACATTCAAATTGCGAGATCCAGTCCGGGACTAGATGTGAAAGAAAGAGCTCGGTGGAGAAGAGCTTTTTATTAAAAATGGAAAATAGTTTTCTTGTCTTGCCTCGATGTCTGCCCAGGCAAGCTTCGCTGATCCTCTCCAGTAGTCCTTTTAATCTTCTTTAGGTATTTTCTAGAGGTTAGCTCCAGCTAGCTATAGCTCTCCTAGCTCTGCCTCCCCTCCTGGTTTCCCCGATGTACCACTGTTCTACTCCCAGGCAGTCTTAGTCTCTACCCTGCCTTCAGTGATCCATCTTCCAGGTGGACCTATCCGATCTGCTGCTGTGCTCCTCTGTCCCTTTGCATTTAGCTTCTATACCTAACCCCAGCCAGCTGGAGCTTCTGCTCGCTGGAGCCCCTTCTCCAGCAGGATTCTTGCCTCTGCCTTCTCCCCCCACTCTAGTTGGCTAACTCTCTGGAGGGTTCCTCCCATCTCCATCTGTGGTTACAAAACCATAGAGGTATTAACCACACAATCATACACTGTACCATTTCTTTTGCCTTTTTCGGGCCGATTCTCCAATCATTAACCTTCTAGGTGCAAGGCAACAGTACTACACACTGCAACACCCTGAATCCTTGAATTAATATCATTTCAAGTAAAAGTAAATGCACCCTAAAGTACCACTCCTAAATGTCATTTTTCTTCTAAAGTTACCTAAAATGTAATGGATTAATTGTAGCTATTTAATACCCATTTCTGCTTATAACCTAAAAAACAAAACTTCCTTAATAATTCCTGAATCATCCATTTAACCTGCTAATTTTTTGGCATCTGTGTAAATGCAATGCAATGTTGAGGCCTTCAGGCAGCAGCTATGCAGGAAGTCAGTCAGCAGTGACAAGAGAGGCCTTTAAGATTGAAGATCAGGAAACAACCTGATGGGAATCTGGACACAGAAACTACAGAATCAGCAGTTGTGTGTGAAAGTGTGTGGTGGAGGCATCCATCTTGAAATTCCCAAAGGAAAAGGTTTATTTCAGCCAGCAGTGGGAAATAAAGGTAATGAAAGAAGCCCACATTAAAGTGACCTGAATGGAAGATCATGGGGAGAGAATTACAAGCAGCCAACATGGTTCACACAGCCTCACTTACTGTTTTCCGATACTTAGTGTGAACAAATTGATGTAGTATTTGAAGCCTCAGCAAAACAATAACAGTAATACAAAGGAAAAGGCTACTGGTATAATGAGGTAAAGGAAAGCAGGAGGGCTCATTTCATTTGAAACTGTGTTTTAAACCAGTACAGGCTGCACTGTGATCTTAGTCACATGTCTTTCTCCTCATGTAGGGAGAGGAATAAAAACCAACCAATGGAAGCTAGGTGGGTTATCTCATAACAAGCTGGAATCTGTTCAACAAGTATGATTCCAATCAGTTTTAATTTTAATCTTTTGTAAATAGCAATTGTGAGCAAAGGTTTTAGAAACTGCTCCGATATCTAAGCAGAGCAGATGAACTGATCTGAAAGGCAGTTAAACACTGAAACATCTAACCTTTGATTTGGGTTTAAAGGGTTCTGCATGGAAAACAAATGAACCCTGTGATACACTGAATGATTGCGAGGGGGAAAAATAAGAGCTTCTACAGCAAAGACAAATAAAAACACACTGTTGTGTCTGTAAAGTAGGGTGACCGAACGTCCGTATTTCCCGGGACATGTCCGTATTTCACGTCCTGTCCTGGGCGTCCCGTTTTTTTTTTTAGAAAGTGAGGAAATTTCCTGATTTTTTAAATTACCTTAATTGGACCATTAAATTTACAGGCACTAGGTCACTGCGCACGACGCTGCGTGTGACGTAATCCCTGAGCCGCGTCAGTGCGGGCAGCCCTGTTCTTAATCAGAAGATAGATAGCGTGGCTGTCAGTTCACCAACAACATGCAAAAGCGCAAATGTATGTTTACCGACGATTTATAAAAGCGTCTCCCCGCTTTCAGACCGGGTCGAGACAAACGGGAGGCCTTGTGCACAGTGTGCAAAGCAGGCACATACGTCTCTGTGTCCAATGGCGGTGCAAGGGATCTTAAAAGCCACCTAGACACCCAAAGTAAAGATAGTCTATTGATATGTTTGTTCGTTTTTGGTACATTTTGAGTTATTTTTGCTACACAATAGGTATTTTTTGTTAATTAGCTCATTTGTTAATTTATTTTTTCCAATAGCCTACAGAACAGACATTATTTCGTTCATTGCTGAGGCTGAGTATCATCTGTTATTGGGAGTTTAGAGTTATTGTTAACTTTTATTGTTAAGTGAGGGATGTTTAGATGAGACATTATTTCTTTCATTGTGCTATTCATTCATTACAGGAATTGTTAAGCATTTTTAATAAATGCATTTTGAATGAAATTATCGTTTGTTATTGGAGTTATTGCAGTCGACTTTTACTGAAAAGCACTTATTAATAAATCAACTGTAGATATGTTATTGTGACCCCCCCCCCCAGGTGTCCTGGTTTTCCTAAATGAAAATATGGTCACCCTATGTAAAGGGCCTTGTGAATTGGCGCTATATAGATAAACTGAATTTTAAAAACACAATGTTCCTAACAGAGCACTTTGCTCTCAATCTGCTGGTTTACTAGTGGTTTCTAGAATTTCTAAAAGTAGAATGCGTGGCAGATCTTTTAGTTAACAGGCTACCAGTTTTAGTGTATGAGGCAGACGCCTTCTTTACTAGGCTTAAAACTTCAGTTTTTGATAGTTTATAGTTAAAAACCAAGTGATGTTTGCACACCTGTGGGTGAGTCAAGAAGGAGGAGGTAAATAGTAATAGTTATGCTGCTATAGGCTTAGACTGCTGGAGGACATAGGGACCCCTTCTCATCTTTCTATCTCTATTCTCTGACCCGTAACTTTATGTTCTCTCTGCTTTTTCTCATCATAGTAGCTTCATCTAGTCTCTTCGTGTTTGGCTTTTTTCCCCCATCCTGGATGGAAACATTAGCTTGGCTGCTGCCAACTACACCACTGATTACAGATAATGGAGTTTGACTTGATTTCTAGTGTTTAGACCCGTTTCACTCTTAGACACAGCTATTGGCTCAGCTTTTACTGTGACTAACTGGATCTGTTCTCTTTCATCCCTTTTGACATAAAAACATGCTCAGAGCTAACCAACTATGGTGCTGTTTAGCATTTCTAATATAGAAAGCATTCATGTATCAGGGCTCCTACAGTATATTCCCTTTGATAGGTCTGCTTTTGTCTCTTTGAACCCCCAGTGGACCTCTGCAGGCTCACACTGATCCTGGTTATGCTGGAGGTTTTTTTTCGTATTAAAAGGTAGTTTTTACTCTCCACTGTTACTTCATGCGTGGTCGGTGTTAGGGATTGCGGTAGAGTCAACGACAATCCAGGAGGAGCATGTCCTTATTGTTCCTGCAAAGTGCCTTGAGATGACGTGTTGTGAATTGGCGCTAAATGAATAAACTCAATTGAAGTTAATTTTTTTGGGACTGAAAAACCTTTTTCAGTTATATTCACCTGAAAAACTAAGACATATAAGTAGTTAACCAGACTTCCCATCCCTGAAAGAAAAAGGGATATCTACTATTTTCGATGTGTTTTTGTTGAGCAGTGACTGCTGATGGAGAGGAGTCTGTATGAATGGTCAGAGCCTCAGATCAAATGCAACATGCTTTTAATAAACTACTGGATATGTATTTGATTTAGTGCTGCCTATAGAAGTCGAAAAAATTGTTTTTTTGGGTTTAAAAAGAAAAGTCATTCTGACTACCATGAAAAAGCTGCATATGAGTGGAATATGTGGAAGAAAAGTCATATTTGTTGCGTTTCCTGCAGTGTGATCGCAGCCTGTCTGAGCATAAGATGGTAAAATTTAACATTCTAAGCTACAATTATAGGATTTAGAGTTTGGCAAAACTTCACAGCAGAACATAAAGGATTAAGTTGACGTCCTAAACTCCCAAGTTTGCTGAAGTTTGTCACCTTAAAATTGACCTTTTTTTTTTCCAGTGCGTGATTTGAAAAATCTGGGGTTTTTTTTACATTCCTTTCAACTTACAAAGATGTGACAGAATTCTTTCAAACTTTACTTTTGTAATCTTGTATTTTTTTTTTTTGTGATGGATGTTGTCAAACTTTAATCCTGAAAGGTTTAAAGACAGATCAGACACACGGACATTACAAGAAAACCAGTCAGACAAATTTTAAAGGGGGTAAATGCACCCATGCCATCGGACTCAAAGTCTTTAATAACCAAAAAGTTCTTCATACAAAAGTATATGTACATAGTCAACTGTTTAACTGTATAGTTTATGGAAATGATCTAACATTGTTCCCCTTCCAGCACCTCCTCCCCCCCAACAGGATCTGAAACACTTTACGGTCTGAATGAGGCGAGTCCATCGTCAGCGTGGCAGAGTATTCAGAGGGACAGTCCAAGTCTGGCTCCCTACTTTGGATATCAGTCTAGGAATCAACAATATTCATGAGCAACATTCAATATTATCAGGAAATAAAAACTATGCGTCGGGTTTCATTTTACATACATCTGTAGAGACATAAATAAAGCATTAGTTGAATACCAGTGCAGCAAAGCATTCAGAACAGGGAGACGAGACTTAATCAGACAGCAGGATTTGTTTCTGACAGTTAGACGGGAGCCTGAGTGGGACATTCCAGAATACAGAGTTACATTTGATCCACTGAGTAAACAGAATTATATTCTTTAGAATCCATACAATTAAGAAAAAAAAAGGAATAGACACGAAGGTGGATGAAGGAAATAATCGATTGCACCGTTTCCCTGCCATTAGCTGTGAGGTCCGACCCACCACCTGTGAACTTTGTGTTAAAACCTGAAGGATAAGTTGAGTGTGTGCTGAATGGGCCTCCTGCTTCCTCCTCACTTTGCTGTGATCAAAGCTCATTGGTGGAGCGCTCTAGCCGTGTACGTGTGACAGTCTGCATGCTGATGTATGGCTCCAAAACGCTCCCTCCTGCACGCATCCAATGACATGCAGCCGGAATGAAAGTTTGAAATAACTTCCGTTAGAGGTGAAAGTGCTGGGACAAAAAGCTTTAAGGATGAGCCGCTTCTAACACTATGTGCTCATTAGATCAGTGGCTGCAAACAGAAATCGTTTGTGCAGAAAATTTTTTTTTTTTAAGGGTGGCAATAAGGACGCAGTGATAAGAAGGCTTTTGGAAAGCTTTGACCTCCTGATACCAAATCCAGCCGACTAGTAACCATACAGGAGAGAACAGGCAGTCAAAAACAGAACCGTATCATTATTTAATACATTAATTTGATATTTCAGATTGTTTTTAGCCTATTAGGATGACTTAGAGAACCAGTCATGTTCTCACTGTGTAACCTTGACCTCAGACTTCAGGTCAACCTTCCATGACACACCGAGTACTTTACAATCTTCCTTCCTGTTACCTTTAAGTCCTGCTCTCTCTTGCAGTTTGAATGGACCACAGACGTGTCTCAGGATCCGACTGGATGGCCCCGTGAAAGGCCACCAACCCTCACTTTGGGCCTTCTACACAATATCACACATATTATCACAGGTATTGTGAATAGATGTTAAAACATGTGAGCTGTTTTATATCTTTTTTAAAAGATATCTATCAGCTGGAATAGAAAAAGGAAAAGCTTCCTGTCCCAGGACTTTAGTTTGACTCGACTAACTGAAAAGATTCATGTGGAAAAGTCACTAATAAGTGCAAATCGGTTCATTCACAAAAGCCCCAAAGATTCAACCTGCCTCTCTGTCCTTTTTAGGTCATCTCCCTGCCTTGTATCTGCTTAGACAATGTGCAAGTTTCCCCCATGGCTCCCTCTAGCCTCCTGCCCCCTGTCTCATTTGTCAGAGTTCTTGCGAGGCCGGCGGAAGCTGGACATGTTCTCGTTTAGTGCATAGATGCGCCTATTGAACTCCTCGAAGCCGGCCACGTCCAGCTCACCCAGCACCTGTTCGTCACACTCCACAGCTACTGCGTGGTCCACAGGAATGCAGCGGTAACCTTCCAGCTGGGCCTCATCTGTTATGCCTAACCCCAGGCCCAGACCTAAACCTGTGGCCTCTGTGCCCATGATCTCCTCAGCTTGCTCCACGGAGCAGTGCAGCTCTGGGACCAGGCCTACAGATGCCTGTCCTGATGCCAGGGAGCCGTTCATTACACCTGTATGGTTACTTGAAACGGCTTCCTGTCCAGCTTCCTGTGATACAGAGGGAGCGGATGCCCCTGCACAGCTGCTCGGCCGCTCCTCAGATTCTTTTTGTTTGACTTCTTTGCTCTTCATGCCAGCGTCTTTATTTTTCTCCTCTACATCTGGCTGCCCTCCCTGCTCCCCGTCCTCCTTGTTGGTCGCTGCAGTGGTGGTGAGGTGAAGTGAGGCCATGCTGGCATCAGGAGATGAGGACGCATGTTTGGATGCCGGCGAGGGCGGCGTCAGGTTAGCAGGAGGCTGCTCCTTCCCTGCGGCCGCATTGTTGTTTGGAGAAGGCGTTGGCTTGTACTTGAGCTGTGCCTCGGCCTCCGAGCTCGCCCTCTTCCTCGGGCCGCGGTCGGGGGAACTGTTGTGGTGAGAGTAACCCGGTTCGGAGGCAGCGGACACGCCCAACTGGGACCTGCAGGGCACTGGAATCGAGCTGGAGATGTGATGTCGATCGCTGTTAAAATAATAGAAACAAATCTGATGAACAACAACAAAAGTAACTATGTGCAGCAAATGATTCTATAAACAGAAATGTTCTAAATGATTTATTTACGTTTTGGGGATTTTATTTGGATTTTAGGGGATTAACGAAGACAAAAATGGGGAATTTCTTTAAATATTTTACAAATAAAAGTCTAAAATGCTTATTGTGCAAATTCATTTAAGCACTTCTACTTTAATACCCATAAATAGAAACCAGTGCAATCAATTACGTACTGCTGGCGGTTAACAAATTAGTAATTGGAGTCCATCTGTGCTTAATTTAATCTCAGTATTGATGTAGCTGTTCTGCGAGGGCCTCAGAGGTTTGTTAAGAGCGCTTTAAATTTGGAGGCAGTATTATGTTACCAAGATGCTTTTCTTCAGGGAGGCTGTATAATAGCATAATATGCAATGTTCCTGAACATGAAACTACAGATCAGAGGTTTCAAACTGAAGTCACTGAATTACACTGCTAAATAAAATAAGGTCATTGTCAGGGAATAATCGCACACTGAGGAGGTTATTTAACCATTTGATTCAGATGTTTTGGACCAGAAAAACTGGGACTTGACTTAACTTTAGTCTGGGAGGCAGAAAATCTGTCTAAAACCAGGGTCGTTTTGATAAAGCTTATTGTAGAGTTAAGAGTGGCTCAGGTTATCCTGAGCTCTCTCTACATTTATGCTGCTATAGGCTTAGACTGCTGGAGGACATAGGGACCCCATTATATCATTCAAGATTATTCCATCTCTATTCATCAATTCTGCACTATGTGTTCGTTTATGTTTTCTCTCCCATTTTTTTTTGTCATTGTAGCTTCATCTGGTCTATTTTTTTAGCTGTGAGACAATCCTGTAGGGAGGCGTCAGCTGGGATGCTACCATCAACAACTTCACTTATAGATGGATAGAATTGGGCCTCTTTTTCAGCGTTTAGTCCTGTTTCTCTCCTAGACACAGCTATGGGCTCAGCTTTTACTGTGATTAACTGCATGTGCTCTCTTTCATCCCTTTTGACATGAAAAGTGGCTGAGAGACGTGGCAGAAGGCCGTGCACACGGAGAGTTTTTCCTCTCCACTCTCACTGCTAGGCGTGAGGAATTGCTGCAGAGTCAATGAGGATTTCTGCTGTCTCTACATGCTCATCCTGCAGGAGCGAATCCTGCAGAATCAATGAGTCGACCCAATCAACTGAGTTTTCTTATAAAACTTTTGAACCGATATGACTGAATGATCTGATTGAATGTTCTCTGGTTTGTGAATTGATACTATTTAAATAAACCTAATAGAAACTAAATTTAACCTTGAGATCATATTCATGCGTTTTAATGTTCCAGACCTGATTTTAGACCTAAAATCGGATCACTATCTGTAACAAAACTTTAACATACTGTAACATACTGATGGCATCCTCTGAGCTGAGGTGTTTTATAAAGAACGATTGGAAAAAATGTCCATATCTAAATGTGCAAAGGGCTTCCAGCTGTGAGTGTGTGCATCTGCTTGACCAAATTCCTTCCACGTCACAATTAAGCTTTACTTTGGTCTAAAAAGATGTTTTGGTTATAGTTACTTTGACAAATCATGGAGAGTTTAAGGGGTAGGAATACTACTTTTTACAAACTAAGATTTATTAAAGAAACCAGGCAGCAGAAGAAAGTGAGATTTCCAAAGAGGGCTAACGCTTATCAGCACCTCCGCAGCCCAGCACCCAGCTACTTTGCTTCTAATCCGGGGGGCAGCTGCAGCTCTTTGTAAATCACTCTACTTTACAGCTTTCAGAAAGCATTTGTGCAGCCTCTAAGGCTTCTCTCATGTTCTCCTGACTGGAAGATCGCAGCAGGCATCCACCCAAGTATGTCAGATATTTTCTTCCAAAACAGATAACAGACTCGAGATCTGGGACACCCCACCCAGCCGCAGGACTGCAGTCATAAATCGATCTAAATGGGGGCCTCACTGCCTCTTCTAATAGCCAAGGCCATGTATAATTCTCTGGTCGGCTTAAGTGCTGTCTTCATTGTGACTCCATGCCATTTTACACATTTGCATGTGTTGGTTTAAGGCTCGAGGACAGGTCTCTGCTTGTTCAGTTGGACGTGCTGTCATACCAGATAACTCTCGAGTCGCCTGGCATTTACCTAGGAAGGCTAATTGGAAGAGCGGAGAGCCGACATCAGCGTTAAGAGAACAGGCTTTCATGGTTGGTTAGTCGGCGGCCTGATGGACGGTTTTATGACCGAACACATGACAGCTTGTCAAACGGACCCGGAGCCTGACCCCTGCAGACACCCCGCTGAGGTGGTCCTGACCGGGTTCACGGGCAGGACGTCCCACTGACGACAGGAGAGGCCTGTCTCGTGTTAGGAGAAACTTGTCAACTTCAAAGTGTGCGTGTTGCAGTCAAATTAGAACCATCCACCGCATAAAGGTACAGTACGGTCACAGAGTGAGGATTCAGCAAGGTATGAGTGACTTATCAGAGGGAAACAGATAAACATGTCTGAAGGTTAAGCAATGTCAGAGCTCTTAGAGGGGTTCTTCAACTCTGGACCGAGGAGTTGGACTGGGATTTACATGGCTGCACATAATAGCAGAAACACATCATGCAATGCAGAAACTCCCCCCTACAAAGACTGGTTTCAATACTCCTGCAAAACTCAATTTATTAAAATGTAAATAGTGCTTTTATCATTTAACCACAGAAATCTGCAGTGGAACATAAAACACAAAGGCTAAACCAAAACAAACCATTCTAAACTCTCTGAAGTCAGGCCGAAATATTCAGACCTTGTTTAGAGGAAAACAGTAAAAAATTATATATTTAAAGGTTTAACGACGTCCTTTGGACTCTTTGAGACTTCAAAAAACTTGATAATTGGTAAATGTTTGTCTCTTAAAGGTCCATAAAGTCAACATATCACCAGGCAGTTTATTCCAAAAACAGATAGATTATTGCCACCAGTCGATTCCAATTAAATGGCGCCTTCAGAAGAACAACTATCCCCAGATTACTTTTTCCTAATAAATTTAATTCATTGATGTCTTATAGTACTGCCTCTATGTAACAGGCATTATTTTTGATTGTTCATTTGTTGCAATCAAGCTTTAGTATCCTAAACTGTCTGTTTGTTGCCGTCTTCATGTTTAACAATGGTACTGTATCTGTATCTTTTTATCAATATTGGTGATGGCTAATAAAATATTGTGACATCACCCAGAAAAACTGAAAACAGTAGCTCTGCTGTAATCTTTCTATCAATATTCTACGCTGGCCCTGAAGTGCAAACTGAAACTACAAATCTAAAAGCGCAACTACCATTAAAGAAATCGCAACTACATAAAGCAAAGCGCAACTACATTAAGGAAAACACAATTACATTAACCTACTGGAAAAGGTAGGTACCAGTGGGAAACATGAGTAGGGATGGGAATAGAAAACCGGTTCCTGTTCAGAACCGGTTCCATATTTTCCGATTCCATGGCATCGTTTGGCAGCTCGCTGAACGATTCTTTTTTCGATTCCCGCAGCACCAGAGCCTAAAGCGCCGGCTCTGGGGAGCACGACTTACGTCACGTTTTTTACGCAAGTTACGCACACGGCGTCCAGTAAGCAAGTACGACGTGACTAGGCAAAAAAGGAAAGCAAAAAAATGGCGCCACACCAAGTAAAGAGATCAAAAGTTTGGCTTCATTTTAAAAACGAAAAAGATGGCAAGAAGGCTCTTTGCAATCATTGCAAAGCTACAATTTCAATTGCGGGAGGAAATACTTCGAACATGCTGAAACACCTCCACCCACAACATGGGATAAATTTTATGAGTGCTGTGTTTTTGATGCCTTCCGGAAAGAGGCTAAAATTTCTACAAGGATGGAAGGCAAGTCTGGTAAGTAGCAAGTTTTACATCACTGGCTATGCTTAATGTTGTTCCTGGTATATCATATCCCATTTCTAGAAATAAACTCATTTCCTACCTCTCTTTGGGGTTATAAGGGAGTGTGCCTTTGTCGTTAATCCAGCCCTTCATTGCTAGCATGTTTTTTAATTAGAACTACTGGTAGCTGGAATTCTTACATGATTCTAGCTGTTGCAGTGGATGTAATGTAACACGCTACAAAGTTGCTCCGCAGTTCAGGGAGGGAGAGAAAGGTGATGCTTGTTTATTTAAATCAGGGGGAGATGAGTTTATTTCCCAAAATTGTACAGTAATGCTTTATCATTAAACAGATGTCTTCTCCATTAGATTTAGATAACTGTGAGGAGACGGGTAGCCTGGCTGGCTCAGAGGCTGGCAGCTGCTTCGTCGAGGCAGCCAGAAATAAAATGTCCCAGGTGAAGATAGATGAGTGTCACCGTGCAATTACAAAGTTTATTGTTAAGGGTTTGCACTCATTTTCTACAGTAGAGGCCCCTGAATTTCGGTAGGTCGGTAGTCATTCTGCCTGCTGCGGCTTTTGAAAACATGGATATTGTTGGCGCCCCAAACATAGCTGCCGTTATCCAGGAATATTTTGAATCAGGACATACGTACGAGGTGATACTGGATATGCTCAAGACTAATCACGAAATTTCAGTTAGTTTGCGTACACTGAAGACACACTTAAAAGAAGCTGGACTGTTCAGACGACGAAACTTCCGGTTCAAGAGTCAAATGGCGCCGTCGTCCAATCAGCGATGTCTCATGTTTCCCCACTGGTACCTACCTTTTCCGGTAGGTTAATGTAATTGCGATTTTCTTAATGTAGTTGCGCTTTGCTTTATGTAGTTTTGTTTTTCTTAATGTAGTTGTGCTTTGCTTTATGTAGTTGCGATTTCCTTAAATGTAGTTGCGCTTTTAGATTTGTAGTTGCAGTTTGATCTTCAGGGCCACCATAATTTTCAGGGTTTATAAATGTTTTATTGGCTTAGCAGTCAGCTGGATTATTTAGCATTTGTTTAGCTTGCTAAAACACATCCAGGTTTATGGTCACA